CTGATTTGTTCAGGTACAATGTATATTTCAGATCCATATAATATTTTGAATAAAATACATATATATTTAATTAACTATAAAAAAATTGAGCACCTGTACATATGAAAAATCGTCCCTGCCTTGAGGCACATCTTAGCCTTGCAGAGTGCTTACACATATATAGAAGTAACCATAATATCAGTACAAGTTAGAAAGTTCTATAGACTAAGGTGACTATGGATTTGCAAAAGAGGTGGGAATTTCTCCTAGTTGAAGAATCATCTGTGTTGGTAGATGGTCTTGTACGTTCATCAGTAGGGAAAAAGTGTACTCCAGAAGAAGGGATTATTTCAAGCTCACAGCTGAGCACAGGAAAAAGGGCAGTTTACATGTGGCCAGCCAGTTGTAGGTATAAATATAATAACCTGCTCCTCCAGATTTCTATGTTTTATGCAAATAGTTTTTTTACTAGAAAATTTGCTTTTAGATAGCAAGCATTTATTTTCTCTTATATTCATGGGTATTTATCCTTTTTGTTTGTTTTACATGTTCATTGTGAATTAAAATTCTATATTGATAAATTAAATTTCTATACATTTTTCTTTAATGTTAAATGTAACCCTAAAACTTTACAATTAATGTCCATAGCTCTTTCCATTTTTCATTACCACAATATTAAGGTTTCTAAAACATATCTATGAATAAATATTTACATATAATTATTCAATTATGGAATTCCAGATTGAACATTTTTTAAAAATCCAACAGTTGTGCCAATGATTTTTACTAATACACACACATATATACTTTTGCTCATATCAAAATGATATCTTGAAGTAATTTTCTATACAGTTGACCCTTGAACAACGTGGGTTGGAACTGCGTGAGTCCACTTACATGCAGATTTCAATGAATTCACTTAATAAATATATGGAAAGTTTTGGGGAGATTTGTGACAACTTGAAAAAATTCACAGATGAACTGCATAGCTTAGAAATATTGAAAAAATTAAGAAAAAGGTATGTCATGAATGATTAAAATATATGTAGATACTAGTCTATTTTATCATTTACTACCATGAAATATGCACAAATCTATTATAAAAAGTTAAAATTTATCAAAATGTATGCAAACACAGATTGTATGTGGAACCATTCATAGTCGAGAGAAATGTAAACAAGCATAAAGATGCAGTATTAAACCATGATTGCATAAAGATAACTGTGATACATACTGTACTACGGTAATACTTTCCTAGCCATCTCCTGCTGCTGTAGCAGTAAGCCCAAATGTAGTGCACATCTGCTTAAAACGCTGTGACACCAGTCACCTCTACATGAGCACTTCGTCTTTCCACTAAGTTGCATATCACAGTAGAAAGTTCTTTCTCGTGGTTCTTATGTATTTGGTTGGCCAAAAAGTTCATTCGGTTTTAAGTAAAAATAAAAGACGCGTTTTTCATTTTTACCAAGAATTTTATTGAACAATGTATTCACTAACTGAACGAATTTTTTGGCCAGCCCAATATTTTCCATAATATTTACTGCAATACCATAAACCCTGAATAACACCATGGGACCCACAAAGTGCTACTCGTGATGTTGGAAGTGCTCCCAAGAAATAAGTCATGCTTGGTATGTAGCATAGATTGAGGTCTGCAGCTGAAGTTGCCACCATTTCAAGATGGATGAATCCAACCATTGTTTAAAAATAAAAAAGAGAAGGAAAGGAAATTTGTGAAGCTGTCACTGTGGTTACACCAGCATGTGAAAAACCTTGCACTTTTTGTGCAGTACCTTTTTATTTTGAAGATGTGGCCTTAATGTGGGTGCAGGTTTGCTATCAGAAGGACATACCTTAGACTCTAATATGATTCAAGAAAAAGTGAGGTCATTATTTGCCAACTTAAAGCAAATGGAAGGTGAAGGATCTAAAGTTGGAGAATTTAATGCCTGCAAAGGATGGTTGGATAATTTTAGAAAGAGGTTTGGCTTAAATGTCAAGATAACAGGAGAAGCAGCTTCTGCTGACCAAGAGGCAAGAGACAAGTTCCCAGACACCATTAAATCACTGAGGAGGAAGGATGTCTGCCTGAACAGATTTTTAATGCAAACGAAAGTGCATTCTGGAAAAAAATGCCACAAAGGATATTTGTTAGTAAGCAAAAGAAGCGAGTATCAGGATTTAAAGCAGGAAAGAATAGGCTAACTGTATGATTTTGTGCAAATGCAGTTGGGTTTATGATCAGGACTGCCCTTACCCATAAAGCTGCGAACCCATAAGACTTGAAGGGAAAAGATAAACAGCAACTGCCAGTCTTTTGGTTGTACTACAAGAAGAAGGCCTGGATGACAAGAAGCCTTTTTCTGGATTGGTTTCATCTGTGCTTTGTCCCTGAAGTCAGGAAGTACTTTGCCAGGAAGGGACTGCCTTTTAAAGTTCTTCTGATATTAGACAATGCCCCTGGCCACCCAAAACCCCATGAGTTCAACACTGAAGGCGTCAAAGTGGCCTACTTGCCCCCCAAACACAACGTCTCTAATTCACAGGGTCATAAGGACCTTGTAAGGCTCATTACTCACAGTGCTCTATGGAAAGGATTATCAACGCTGTGGAAGAGAATCCTGATAGAACGTTGTGAAAGTCTGGAAGGATTATACCATTGAAGATGCCATTGTTGTTATAGAAAAAGTCGTGAAAGCCATCAAGCCTGAATCAATAAATCCCTGCTGGAGAAGACTGTGACCAGATGTTGTGCATGACTTCACAGGATTTACGATGGAGCCAATCAAGGAAATCATGAAAGAGATGGTGGATAAGGCAAAAAGGGTGGGGGGCGAAGAGTTTCAAGATATGGATCTTGGAGAAATTCAAGAGCTAAGAGACACCACTCCAGAGGAATTAACAGATGAGTGCTTCTGAACCAGGGCTAGATGAGGAAGAGGATGTATAAGAAGCAGTGCCAGAAAACAAATTGACATCAGACAAGCTGGCAGAAGGTTTCCGAATATTCAAGATGGGTTTTGACTTTTTACGACATGGACTCTTCTATGATATGGGCTAAAGCAAAACAACAGGAACCCTTCTACGATACAGGCACTGGAATTAAAGCAAACGGTGGAAGAAGGGTTGGTACCATATAGAAACATTTTTGGAGAAATGAAAAAGCAAAAAAGTCAGACAGAAATTAAGATGTACTTCTGTAAAGCTACACCAAATATGCCTGCCTCTCCTGTCTCCCCTTCCACCTCCTCCACTTTGTCTGCCTCTGCCACCCCTGAGACAGCAAGTCCAACCCCTCCTCCTCTTCCTCCTCCTCGGCCTAGTCAGCATGAAGTTGATGAGGATGAAGACCTTTATGATGATCCACTTCTACTCAATGAATAGTAAATAATCATCTTGCCATACAGTTAATAAACTTATCTGTTGTGTATTATGAGAGTATCTTCATGTGAAAATCGAATACCTGTATGGCAAGTACTGTATGAGACTTTTTGTGTCCTCATCATCATCAACGCCCAAGTATTCATCATGTAGAACATTGTGTGCAAGGTGTGTTTTGAGGTGGATAGCCTAACCTTATATAGGCATAAGGCGAGTGATGTTTAACGTAAAAGTAATAACATGTTAGTTTTCTTACTGTCTTATAACTTTGCTTTCAAAGAATTATATTACCATACAGCATGTCTCTCTTCCTCTCTCTCATAATTGGAGATACTGCATATCAACCTATCATCACAGGTAAGGGTTTTTAAACAAAATGTAACAGTGTTTCCCATCCTATCTTATGAGTATGACTGTACTACTCTATGCCATAAAAATGTGATAACCATTCATTCATTAGTGTATAGGAAAGGCTACTGTGAAACAATCATATCAATTACACTAGGCAACCATAAAGCAGTCATGTTGCTGTTTCTTTGTTAAACATGAATTTCATTTTCACATTATCTTTTAATTTTTGATGTCTAGTGTTAGTAATACATATGACATCTACAGTGTTTTGTATCATAGAAGACATTATTGCTGTAGGTACTGACAGGCAGATGATTCATCTTGTAAACAGATAAGTTACAGCACTGATATATACAGTACAGTACTGTAAATGTTTTTTCTCTTACTATTTGCTTAATAACATTTTCTTTTCTCTGGCTTACTTTATTGTAAGAATACAGTGTATAATACATATAACATATAAAATATGTGTTACTCGACTGTTTATGTTATCACTAAGGCTTCCAGTCAACAGTAGGCTATTAGTTGTTAAGTTTTAGGGTAGTCAAAAATTATACGTGGATTTTTCACTGTGCAAGGGGTCTGCACTTTAAATCCACATGTTGTTCAAAGGTCATCTGTTCTCTATTTGATTAGACTCTTCATTATTGCTGAGTCTTTCTCTGATGCACTGTTGGCAGCTGAGGGACTCCAGATGGAGGCAGCAGGCATAAAGCTTAGGGATTTGTAGTCAAATGGATCTGCCCCCACTGCATGACCTCATGCTGTGAAGTGCAGATGGAGTACGCCCCTTTTAAAACTATCATGACGATTAAATAAGATATTGTCTCTATAAAGTCTTTATTACATGTCTGGCTGGTAGTATGGGGTTGGCCAAAAAGTTCGTTAGAGTTTTTCCAAACTTTTTGGCCAGCCCAATAGATGTACACGTAGAGGTAGCTGGGATTTAATTCCAGATCCTACATACTCTAGAGCACATAAGCTGACCATAAGCTGTCTAGAAATGAGATACACTAGATGCTAGCTGGTGGACATCCAACCAGCCATCAGATTTAAGGGAGGAGGTTTGTCAAATAAGTATACCAATCCCTGATGTTATTACTTTTGGATTACTTTGTTTTACTCAACTCTGGGAGCTGAGTTTGTTAGCATTTTGATCAAAAGAACCACTGAAAACACATATCATGGTATGAGAAAGTAGAAAATTCTAACTGTGTAATGTTGCATTTATTTGAATAGGAGTGTAGTTCACTTTTTTGAAGCAGCCATACCTTATTATCTTACAGACAAATCCAAAGCAGATGGCAAAGTTGCTGTGGTGGCCAAGAAAGGGGTAAGATCATGTTTTATTAAATCAAATATACAGACTTCAAATTCAATCTGATTAACACTATTTTTAAAAGAAAATCAAATTAATATTTTAAATGAAAATGACATATAATCAAATTTTCCTTCTAAATGTTAGTTGACACTAAAAATTTAATATTTATAGTTACTTATATCAATGTTATAGAATTATCAAATATTAGAATAATAGAAAATTGTAAGTTAACAAATAAACAATTGCTTTTATTTGTACATACTCTCATATACTAAAATATTTTTAATATGTCATGTTATTATAATGTATGCAATCTTCATAGAAAATTCAAATAATTAAAATTCACAGCTTAATATGGACTTTACCTTAAAGTTAAGTAGAGAACAATATCAGACATTTGTATGAATCTTTTTAATGAAAATTTATAAAGTTAATAGCATTTTAAAAGAATTTTTAAAATTTAACATGTCATTCTATACATTGTGTGTGGAGATATGTTTAACTCTAGTTACTGTCAAAACTGTGATTGGGATAGGTTGAGCCTTGACAGTCTCCTTAAGTGACAGTATTCTCGAATAGTAGTTTCTCTCCTTGTGTCCACCACTATCAATGCTTTTCCCACTCCCTTGCCAGCTTTAGATATCACCAATTTTTACGTATTTGCCAATATTTGAAAGGAGAAAAATATGCCATTGTTATTTCAATCTGCTGTTATTTATTCTTTTATTTTAGTGAGGTTGAGCATTTTTCATATATTTATTGGACATATTTCTTCTGAAAACTGCCTGTGCATATCCTTGCCCATTTCTTCCATGAGCTTTTTTTACTTTGATTGATTGATTTATAGGTTGAACTGCTTCTTTGGATCTTCATTTCCTTATGAAGGCTCCCCTGTCACATAAAACTTACCTTAGATAAATTTGTATGCTTTTCTCTTTTTAATCTATCTTTTGTTACAGGGGCCCCAACTGAGAGCTTAGAAGGATAGAGGAAAAAGACATTTTTCCTCCCCTACACTAAAACCAGTTATCCGAATACCATTTATTGACTAATAAATAATCTTTCCCTTCTTTACTTTACTGTTTTTCTTTTGTTATCTTCTTTATAGTATATAGTATACCTTCTTCATAATATAACATACGGCATTTAACATGTCAAAATATCTGTTTCTATATCACGTATCTAGTCTTAAAAGAATTCTAAATTGCTGTAATTATTGTTTATCTTTCCTTTAATGTGTGGATTGGTGATCCTTCATTACCCTACTTTTTCAAAAATTGTTTTCATAGTTCTTGCCTGTTTTTCAGATTGTATGTATGTATGTATGTATATTATGATGAACTGACATTTTAAAAACCCTTTCTGTTTGGGGAGAGACTGTCCCTCCCAAGACTAGCCAGATCTTCTAGATGGCACAGGGTACATCTTTCATATGTACCAACTAATTCCAAACCCACATCACTCAACTACCTTCTTATCAAATTCTCAAATACCAAGCCAGTATTGCCCCTGCCCTAAATTATCCCAGGCCCAGGTTCCAGCCAATGGAGACCACCCCTCTAGACCAAAGCCTTCCAGAATTATTCAAAGTAGCCAGTCCTAAACTGTTTACCCTACCCTACATTTCCTTTCCCATGGAAACCTCAATAAAGGCACAATTTAAATAGTTTTAACAACATACAGATGAACTTTAGAAATATTTAGTTAAGTCTCCCAAGAAAAATTATGTTGAGGTGATGATTGGTATTGTAGAAAATCTATGTATTCATTTGGAGAGAAATTACATGTTTATAAAGTGAATGCACACACATAGAAATATGTCTCTTTATCATTTTTTCTTTAGTTTTTTTCAATGTAGAATTTTACATATTTCTAACTAAGGCCTTCCCACATTATTTGTTACTAATTGGAAAAGGATCTCTTTTTTATTTTTTCTAATGAAAAAGAAAATCATTTATTTATTTATTTATTTTTGGTTGCATTGGGTCTTCGTTGCTGTGTGTGGGCTTTCTCTAGTTGTGGCGAGTGGAGGCTACTCTTTGTTGCGGTGTGTGGGCTTCTCATTACAGTGGCTTCTCGTTGCAGAGCTTGGGTTCCAGCTGTGCAGGCTTCAGTAGTTGCAGCACGCAGGTTTAGTAGTTGCGGCACGTGGGCCCTCGGGTCCAGGCTCAGTAGTTGTGGTGCACAGGCTTAGTTGCTCCATGGCATGTGGGATCTTCCCGGACCAGGGATCGAACCCTTGTCCCCTGCGTTGGCAGGTGGATTCTTAACCACTCTGCCACCAGGAAGCCCCCTCTAAACTTTTTTAGCTTATATATAGAAAGTATGTATGTATGCATATCTTTTTTTCTAACACTTTATTTTTATTAATGCCAAGAGTTTAACTTATACCTCTTGAAAGGCAAAATTAATGACCACTTTTCTTGATTTATACATTTATGTATAAGGAATTCAAGCTATTATATTTTCTGATAAAAAAAATTTTCCCCCAAATTATTGCAAAAATTCTTCATAATAAGCAGGAAAATTTCATTAGCCCAATTGCAGAAGTCGCTTACATTTTATGAGTAGATGTCTGAATATTTGTGCTAATTAATAAGCTTGCTTATTAACATAGAATTCATGTACTGCAGTTCACTTGATTCACTTAGCTTTATATGCATCTTTCCACAAAGATAAATATTATAATAGATCTCTACGGCTGGCTTCTAGCACCAGGCAGAGAGATACCTCAGGAAAGAATAGTAAGTAGAGGAACCCCTTGGGAAGAGTCACAGTCACGTTTCACAACTCATTTAATTTCCTTTTGGATTTTACTTTTCTTCACCTTTCCATAGACCAGTGTTCCCAAAACTTGAATCATTCAGGTATTCCATCATCATTTTGCCATTTTCTGTGCTGTTAGTTACTGTAGTTTTCTTTCATTTCATTAACCTTTTTAGTAATTTAATTTTTTATTGAGGTAAAATTTAAACACCGTGAAATGCACAGACCTTAAGGGTGGAGTTTGATGGGTTTTTCTTAAGTGTATACACCCATGTAACTACCATTCCAGATTAAAATAGAGAACATTTTCATTACCCCAAAAAGTGTCCTAACCAAAATTTTAAGATGTAAATGTACTCTTTTGATGTGAGTTGCATTTTCAAATATATAAATAAATATATATTAATATAGAAAATTGTCCATTTATCACTTTAAATCATCAGTGGAAACCTTCACATAGAAAGTTCTTTTTGTACTAATTTCAGTTTCTCTGTTCTCAAACTCTGTGCCACTCTATGGCAGTATTATGAAACAGCCTTCCAGGGGAGTGATTTTTAACAAGATATTCTTTAGTAACTTAAAAACTAAACCTGCCTGATTAGGTTGCAAGCTTATCTTGAATTAAAATCTATAGGAATTCTGTAGGATAACTATTAGTAGGAAAGTAGTAAAATTAGACAAAATGGATTAATCGTTGATATCCAGAAACTTTTATATACCATTTATGAGAACAAGCAAAGACCCCTTGATTTAGAGTAACTCTTTTCTGGTGTGGATGATTATATTTGTTTCTTAAATAGAAAAGTCTACTATGGGACTTATATATTGGCTTAACCCTGTTTTTGACTTGACTTTCAGTTTATGGATCTGACTTCAATCAAACTGACCTCCTTGTAGTTTTCTTAAGATGGGCAGCGGGAATGGGAGGAGCTGGGATAGAGGGGAAGTGGGCATCGGGGTGAGTATAGCAGGCGTGAAAATCCCTTTGTTTTTCTTCCCTGGAAGTAAAATGACAGCATCCTAGTGTGAGGGCCACGCTGGTCTCCAAGCTCTCAGGTTGTTGTCCAGCAGTCGGCTTACGGCTTACAAAGGGTAGGTTTTCCACCCACAGGGCTGCTAGGCGCCTCTTGTTTTCAGGGGTTTCAGGTCTGAAGGGGAGTGTTTTGAGAGGTGGAAGTGGTGGGGGGTATCCTAATCCGATGACTTGTCCCAGTGCACTGATTTATCTGAGAAAATTCAAAGTTTAGTTATGCAGACCTGGTACTTGGTAAACAGAAATTCATCTTTATCAGTAATATCCTCTCTTAACTTTTAAGAATTGTTTTCATCCTAATTACTAAAAAACAAAATATCATTTTTAAAATGTCACCATTTATAATAATAGAAGATTGTATTAATTTTTGTTTCTCTGCACATTATGCCCATTTGAAAATTCACTCAAGGTATTAATTCACTTGGAATTCAAGTTTAGTAATACTTAAAATCTAGTGTCACAGATTCCAGAAATTCAAAACTTTTCAACCATAACTCTCCACGTTTTCTATTCTATATTTTAACTTTGAGCCAGAAGGCAATAAAAAGAATTCTACAAAATGTGATTGCTGTTTTGTTAAGATGCAAAAACCTTTTCAACTTGAGTCCTACTAATCACATGAAGAGCAGGTGTTGTCCTTTGTTATTTGGGACTAAAGGTTGTATTATGCAGATTTCTTCAGTTTTGTTGATTATATTCATTACAAGTATAGTCCTTTCTCTCATCCAGACACACAAATTATGACTCCAACATCAAGCTACACACACGATGAATGTGGGTTTCTTCCAAAGTTTGGGATATTTCTCATTCACCGTCACCTTCCTCATCCCATTCCATTAAAACCAAAACCAATCTTACTAATCCGTAGAAAAGTGGATATAACATACAAAAGGAATTTGAATGTAGCTATTGCACTAGATATTAAAAATGATCTTTCTATGTCTAATAGAAATAGCTATTGTTTTCCTGTTTGCAGAGGGAAGTTGTTATCATTGGAAAAAGTATGCTAGTGAAAATTAGTAGAATTTACATATAACTTATTAGAATGAATCTATAATTTTAAATTTATAAACATTTGGCTTCTGCCCATAATAGCTTCTTCAAACTTTTTATTTATATTAGACAACACAAGCCTATTTCTTTTCTTTGAAGACACATAAATTATTACTTTTAAATTCTTTAAAATTGTAATGACTTTGGGGTGATATTTTTT